GAGATCTTGCTATTATGAAATTTTATTATGTGGTATGTCATCTTAAAGTAATGAAGGGATAATCTATGTATATATTATTTGAGAATAAAGTTTCCAGATGAAGACACATTGGAATTCTCTGGATTTATAAATCAGGTAAGTGTTATGATTTTTGTAATTAAAAATTTACTTGTAAATAATTTTTTTTCTAATTTGATGATAGTTCTCTAAAGAATGGTTTTCTAAGTCCGAATATGAATTAAAAAAAACTTGAAAGTTTTTTGTTTTAATTTAAAGAATTTTTAAAATCGTTTTTTTTTTTCGTAGGAATTTTTCATTTTGCGTTTTTTAGTTTATAACTAATGATTTTTATTGAAACTTACATTTTTTTTGATAAAAATTGTTGTCAAAAAACTCTTTTTGCAAAATTAAATGATATAAAATTATGGACTTATGTACACTTTTTGAAGTAATATGATTCATAAAACTAAACGATTTCGCAGGAAATACGTTTTAACTCTAATAAGAAAATACATATTTTTTTTCTGCTTATTTACAAATATTTTTCCGATGTGTTTTGGATGTTCCTTCTCTTAAAAAAAAGAGATGCCCTTTTGTTTTCTCTTGCATAAAAAATAATATCAAACATTTTTCTTTTTTAAATTTAATAAGTAGTCACAATAAAGTAGGAACGTTACAATACTACACGCTACATTAAAGACGCCTCCAGAGCAACTGAATGACTGCTCGTTGAGGTAGGTCACTTCACAAAGATTGACAATTCCTAATAGCAACCCATCATCGTATGCTTACCTATTTTTAAATGAAAAAATGTTGCTCCAGATTTTGTGATTTTTCCTGTGCCATCTTCGGCACTCTCAAATTTGTTCTGAATTTTAAAGCGTTTTTATTTATTTAGTTCACAGCTGCGTAAAATTTTTTTAAATGAGAAAAACTGCTTTAGATTTCGTAACTTTTCTTGTGCCCCCCCCCCCCTCGGCACTCTCTAATTTCTTTTGAATTATATAGAATCTAAAGTGACTTCATCTATTTAGTTCACAGCTGCGCAACATTTTTTTTTGTAGCTTTTCCTGTGCCATCCTCGGCACTCTCTAATTTGTTATGAATTTTAAAGTGATTTTATCTATTTAGCTCACAGCTGCGTAACATTTTTTAAATGAGAAAAGTAGCTTTAGATTTTGTAACTTTTTCTGGTGCCACACTCGGTTATCTCTAATTTCTTTTGAATTATATAGAATCTAAAGTGACTTCATCTATTTAGTTCACAACTGCGCAGCATTTTCTAAATTAAAAAAAATTGCTTCAGATTTTGTAGCTTTTCCTGTGCCATCCTCGGCACTCTCTAATTTGTTCTGAATTTTAAAGTGATTTTATCTATTTAGTTTACAGCTGCGTAACACTTTTTAAATGAGGAAAGTTGCTTTAGATTTTGTAACTTTTCCTGGTGCCACACTCGGCTATCTCTAATTTGTTTTGAATTTTAAAGTGATTTTTATCAATTCAGTTCACAGGTGCGTAAAATTTTTTTAAATTCAAAAAGTTGCTTCAGATTTTGTAACTTTTCCTTTGCCATCCTCGGCACTCTCTAATTTCTTTTGAATTATATAGAATCTAAAGTGACTTCATCTATTTAGTTCACAGCTGCGCAAAATTTTTTAAATTAGAAAAAAATTGCTTCAGATTTTGTAGCTTTTCCTGTGCCATCCTCGGCACTCTCTAAATTGTTCTGAATTTTAAAGTGATTTTATCTATTTAGCTCACAGCTGCGTAACATTTTATAAATGAGAAAAGTTGCTTTAGATTTTGTAACTTTTCCTGGTGCCACACTCGGCTATCTCCAATTTGTTCTGAATTTTAAAGTGATTTTTATCAATTCAGTTCACAGCTGCGTAAATTTTTTTTTAAATTCGAAAAATTGCTTCAGATTTTGTAGCTTTTCCAGTGCCATCCTCGGCACTCTCTAATTTGTTTCGAATTCTAAAGTGACTTTATCTATTTAGTTCAAGGCTGTGTAACATTTTTTTAAATGAAAAAAGTTGATTCAGATTTCACAACTTTTCTTTTCTTTCTAATTTGTTTTGAATTCTAAAGTGACTTTATCTGTTTAGTTCACAGCTGCATAACATTTTTTAAATGAAAAAAAAAAAAAGTTGCTTCAGATTTTTAGCTCTAACAGAATCAAATAAAAAACTTAGTAGGAACGTGAGAATAACAGCTGATATGTTCCTTTGATTAATTCTGCATAAGTCACGCTTTTTTCTCATTAACTGGTTACGCACAACACCACTCTCTTATCATACAAAGATTCTCCATAAAGGGACATGAATAAAATGAATTTCAAACCACATAGAATAAACCGGAGCAAGATGAGAAAAACATTTCACTTAAGTTTGTTTTAATTTTATTTCACTTTTCAATCAATTTCAACTTTTTTCACTTTTTTTTCGCTTTCTTTTTCGTTTTTGAGATTTATATATTTTTTAATCGTGAAGATAGTCTTTATTGTAACCAATATTTTTTCAAAATTATTGTATATTTTACCTTAAGAAAAGTTCATTGTCAAGACAAACCATTAAAAAAACTTATTATTGGTTAAAACGTTTTATGACTTTTCCTTTATTTCATTTTGGAATATTAAAGAAAAATAATAGTCTTTTGTCATATATCATATCATGAATACATATATATACATATTTTATATGTCATTGCGTCTGATTTGAAGTTTCAATGGGCAAAATATTCAAGAATGACTTCTCTTCAAAATGTAGCTATATTTATGAGGATCCTGTGTTTAACTTTTTTTTAATAATTTTATAACCGTCGTTGAACAGCTGACAAAGAAACTACTGGATCAGCAGCCCAGATGTATTGATTTATTACGGGAACATGGAGTACTTTATTGTGACTTGACAGATTTAACGTGCGTCAGTCACCATTTCCTATTCTTCGGCAGGTACCTTTTGATTCATGAAAGTTGATTTTGTTGATTTTAATTGAGAAAGTTGATCAAAAGTGCCTTTTGATATTGTGGTACTTTTTTTATTTTTTTAACAGTCGTTGTGAACAGCAGACCCAATTTCTTGGGTTTACGACTACTAATGCTCAACTCCGTAGCCTTGTAGTTTTGAAACCAATCCAGAAGACAAGGGAGCTCCTGGATCAAGTATTGGGAGAAATTTGCCTTCGTGGAAGACTTTTTGATGGAACTAACCCGCATTTGCGTTACATGGAGAGGAAGACCATAAGAACCTACCTCGGTGAGCCTGACGTCAAGGGGACTCTAACCCATGATCCGTCTACCACTGAGGATATTTCGCGTCGGCACTGTGGTCGAGGTAAGCCGGGTGCGGACTCGTATCGACTAGCCATTACTGGGATTCGAACCCTGTGCCGTCACGGCTCTAGCCTGTGCTTATTGGAATAATTGTTCCTAACTTTTTATTCAATGTATCCTATAGAAAATTTTTCTTTAGAAAAAATTTCTATATAGGGTGATTCTAAACAGATGGGCAAAATTTTTGGAAGTGATAGTACACACCCAGGCAAACAATTGTTATCAAAGAATGCATGGTCGAAAACAAAACGCAAAACCGCTAGTGGGTGTCAAAGTTTAATGCCTTATATGAGGCAAAAACACACAAAGAACGATGAAGTTAATTTATAAAAGCAAAATTTAATCTCATGTGATTACAATAAGTGTTCAAAACAGTGCTATGCACGCAGTACAACGGCGAAGAAAAGACAGGCGAACATTCTGAAACACACTAGGCATACCACGAACTTTCCCTTCAGCGGCCGAAAGCTTGGCGACAAGTAACGCAGCGCAGTAACTCGCAACAGGAATGGAGTTTTAGCGTTTGCATCAAACTACTTTCAAAAGGCTCCAGCTCCTTTGCGTTTTGTTTTCGACCATGCATTCTTCGATAAAAATTGTTTTCTTGGGTGTGTACTATCACTTCCTAAAATTTTGCCCATCTTTTTAGAATCACCCTGTATATCTTTTCAATTGTTTTTAAAACGTTGGCCAATAATAAAGCTTATAATTTCATTGCTTTTTCATAACACGCGTAGAAATTTTTAGATTTGAAACTAATAATTAATTTTAATTTTTGTTTAGTGGTTTGTCTTGAAAAGATCTTCTTAACGATGTATAAGTCGATTTTTAAGCATTTTTTAAGGCATTTTTTTTTAGAATTCTTTTTTTTTCACTTTTAATTTTGCTATGCATTAAGTGGGTGAGTTTATTTTTGAGATATGGGACCAGAGAGATCCCATAAATACTCCTTGAGTTGTGAATAAAAGAGATTTGAACGATATTTTTAATTTTTTTGTTTTAATTAAAAATCAGAAATTCTAACCTACAGTTCAAACTGGATCGTTTTCATTACTAATTCAGAGTGAATATCACACGTAAAGAGGGTCCAAACTGATTGGCTCGGTCCCAAAAATTTGAGTTGAAGCAAGAAAGAAACGATGACCAGGCCTTAACTTACCGAGGCTGAAAAAGCCAAAGAACGTAGACGGTAATACCTTAAGCGTTACACACAAGCGGAAAAACGAAAGGGTTCCGTTCGCAAACTCAAGCATGAAGCCCGTCTCTCACAAAAGTACCAAAGTGGTTGCGAGAATTGAACCCTACCGAGAAGCGAATGGTGACTCTCGGAACCCCTTTCATGCTAATATGAGAATTGGGTGTTGATCACCAGTTAGGGATAAAAGAATCCATTGTCAACCCTTACGAAAATTTAAGGTACATTTAAGGTTGATTTGAGGTATTTTTGAGATGTTAAGGTTGATTTGAGGTATATTTGAGGTATATTTAAGGTTGCACAGAAAACAGCAATAAAAATTATACCTCGTAAAGGTTGTAATTAAGGTGTACGAGGTAGTTTTATATACACTTCAGCTTGTTTTGAGGTTGTTTAAAATTCACTTTAAATCAACCAGACTGATAAGGTGATTTTTAAGGTATACCAAGTTGATTTTCTGATACTTGTAATAAAAGAGGTATTTTTGAGGTATAAAAAAATTGACCTTATTTCAACTAACGAGAGTGAGATATTTATTGAGGTATATGAAGTCCTTTTATTTATACCTAAGCTTATTTTGAGGTTGTTTAAAATTCACTTCATATCAACCAGAATCATGAGGCAGTTTTTAAGGTTCACCAGGTTGTTTTTTTTACACTTGTAACAAAAGAGGTATTTACGAGGTATAAAAAATATAATTTTTTTCAACTAAAGAGAGTGAGGTCTTTATTGAGATGTATGAAGTCATTTTATTTATACCTAAGGTTGTTTTAAGGTTGTTTAAAGTACACTTCATATCAACTAGCTCACTTCCCAGAGTTCCGTGCTAGCCGGCAAATGGCGTGTGTGTTTACAATCGAAAGTTTCTTTAAAATTCGGTAAGTGTGCTTGACATTTATTAATTTAGCTTTGTCACTTTTAATCAAATATGCCTCAACTTTCAAACTTAAATTTCATTATTTTTGTTTTAAAGACGCGTCCTGATCTTACATTATTTAAGTCGGAGGATATTCTTTGAGGCTATTGTTGTAGGCTTAGCAATAAGACAGATCAATCTAAATATTTCTCGTCGCTGTTTAGGGTAACGTTACTGGTGAATCGTTACAGCAGGTTACGCACAGTATATTTTATTGTTTGTAATTTATTCAAATATAACTATTCTTTTTGTTTTGCTTAAATGTATATGTTTTAACGTAGCAGTATGCAAGCTGATTGAGTAAAAGGTTCATAATTTCTCTTATAAATAAATCACTGAAAATTGAAAGTTAACAGTTTCTATATATTGCAGGTAATAAAACAAATAAACAATACTATTGTAAGGAACGAAATGCATATTTGTTGCCTTCAACAAAAATCTAACATACATATTTAACTAATAAAATAAACATATACAATAAAAATTGCAATCAGGGTAAATACATCACACAAAAATTTTAATATTTCTTCAAAAGTTGCATTTTCATAAAAATATATATTTACAAACATGAAGAAAAAAAACAATCCTGTTTTTCGAAGTAAATATTCATTTTTTTAAATTAATGTTTACTATTAACAGGTGATTCTAAGGTAGGAAACAAGTTTACCATATCAAATCAACAAATTTCATTAAAAAATATATGAGAATTCCTAATAAAATCTGAAATTTTTTTTTAATAAAAATATATGTAATATGAGATAAGATTCAAGCTAATTTTAGTGAACTAATTTTTTAACCCCCCTCACAAATTAATAAAGCAAACTTCATAAATTTTCATAATCTGAAAAATATTTTGTTTTTAAACTCCAGAAATGATGAGAAATTGGAAATTCTAACATTATCGCAGAGAAAGAAAAGAATTTTTTTTATTTTTAAATGTGCAGAGTAAATAAAAATATAACGCTAATAAATAAAGAATTTTGAAAATTAAATTCTAATAACATTAAATTATGTAAGGATCACAGAAAACTATAATATCAATGAAAAAAAATCAGAACCGAATAATTTCGGTAATAATAAGTGATTGATATTAGCAGCGATTACATTATATATAAGCGGGGATTACTGAACTTACATATACATTGCCTCTAGAGAGAAAAAAGTTATTCTAATTCTAGATTGTTCACCACATTAGCAAAATAAATTTTTCCAGTGTCATCGCACTGGATGGAAATACAAACAGAAGATATATTTGTCACAGGAATTAAGTTAAAGTTGCCAGAATTAGTTACTTGTGTAATATGGCTTAGTTCAACATTAAAATTAAGATTAAGAGAACGCATCTTTTCACCAGAAATCATTTCTTCAATAACACCATAATAATTCCAGCAACAGCATATTGAATTCTGACAAGTACAAGTTACTAAAATTTTTACGAAGAAATTAATGCAGCCTAGTTTAAGTTTACTTGCCCTTTTATACATAAGCTTGGTTTAGTTGAGTATCTTAAAAGTATTTGTATGTGTATCACCTATTAAATAATATCTGAAGTTAGTTAGCAAAAAGGCAACTATAGGTGAAGGAAAACTGGCATCCACTTAAAAAATTCTCATGCAAAATTCAAACTTTTTGTCCGTTTAGTCCACTAAGGCAACGCCCCGCTCTTCCGTGCCACAGGTCCTGGGTTCGATCCTTGGGCCGGGCAAGGTTGACTCAGCCTTTCATCCCTTCAGTGGGTCGATAAATGAGTACCAAGCATGCTTGGGAACTAAACACTGGGGGTTCCGCGTTCGGCTGACCACCTAACCGGAACATCTGCTCCTGCATCCCAGAGCCCAAGGTCAAGAAAACTGAAATGGGCACAGTAGACCTTGGCCCTCTATGGGCTGTCGCGCCACTGTGTTTAGTTTTATTTTAGTTTTTAGTCCGCTAAGGCAAAATCTTGAATATTATTCTAGATCAACATGATGCAGTTTAATATTTTGGAATGATTTTCAATTTATTTTTAATAAGACTCGTGAAGACTCGTAAAGAGACTAAAAGAACATGAAAACTTTTCGTATAAATAGTGTGCTCTAATAAAATAGTTTTTATCTTTAATCCACAAAGAATATTGTATAAAACAAATTTACTGAGACAGCTATTCCAAAAAAATAATTTTATTATTTCAATTAAATATTAAAATCATTTTGGTGAACCTATACTTAATCTGCTTATATTGTAGTTAAAAAAGTTTAAAAGTATTATTGACTCTGGATTTTTGTTGTCAACATTAGTAACTTATCAAAGTTATATAAATATATATTTCAATTTCCTTCAATTTCTTAAAAAAAAATCTCATCTGAAAATTTCCAAATGAAACTTGCTATGCAACTTTTATATAACTTGATTTTACTCAACTTGAACATGCAACTTTTACAGAGCTGCTCCGTAAATGGCATCCAGAATTTCAAGGTTTGAATAAGGCTGTCAATAATACGTGCTCTGCAGCTAGGAGGAAGTGGAGACTAGTAACTGGAGAGCCTTCCCCTGGGAGTAACTCTAAATATACACCAAAAAGAAAAAAGACAAGTAAATTATTCTCCTTTGATTCAATGAAATCTTTTCACCTAAAAAATTACTGATAAAGTTTGCATGATCTTTGATTTTTGAAAACATTATTTTATAGCATTATCTTAAATTATTCCCTCAGGCAAGTAAACATATAAACTTAATGTTGCTTTTATTTCGATGGGGCATGAAAAACACAAAACATTGATGTTCTACATTCTTTTATTAAAAGATGATTGATTCTTGATCACATTAAATAAAAGGTTGAAAATGACCTTTTGTTTTTAAAAACCTTACGTGATAGACAATTATTTTCGGAATCAGCAGCATTGAGAATTGGTTTTAGTACAATTTCTTTTGCGAAATTGGACTAAAAATTTAAACAAGCAGGCCAGTGTAATTGAATTTATTCAAAATTTGCTGAGAAAAAAATTTAAATATCAGCATAACAATCCATAATTAAAAATGGTCGGTTGAATTATTGGAAAATTAAGAATTTCAATAAGCGTGTTATTTCTACAGCAGTTTTTATATGCATCTTATAGAAAAATTAGCTTTTTTAAGTGATATGTTTAAACAGTCAAAATAAAGAATTGAAATATACTGGGAGGAGAGTTTTGCAGGTCATTATTATTATTCTTATTCATCTGCTGTTACTAAAGAAACCATTTATTTATTCAAAATTGAATAGAAATAATAATAAAAGGTGATTTATGCAACGAAATAAGCTTTAAAATATTATTCTAATCTTTTAAAATTTGTCATTATCAATGTAAATATGACTCTCGCTAATTCAAATTTTTTATTTATAGGTTCCAATGCTCCAAATAACGTAAGCACAGCAAACTTGCAGAAGAAGCAGAGTAATTGTCAAGAATTTTGATTTCTTGAACGAAAAATTAATTTTTTTTTGTTAATAAAAGTTTTTATTTGTAAGCTGGCTAAATTATTTAAATTTGCTGTTATTTCGCTTTTACAAAAAATTAGCGCCTTTAACATCTGTTCTATATAAATGAGTTCCCACATTTTTCTGAAACAAATGTATCCTCTTTTCACGATAGTTTAATTGAAATTATTAAAATTACAGAAACATTTGAAATGTTCTTTTAAGGTTTATGAGTCAGCATACTTAACATTATTCAACTCTACATGTTAATTCAAGATTAATAAATTTTATGAACTATTTAATTGCAAATTAGCACAAGGTTCACAAACTATAAATTAAAGGCGTTAAGTGAAAATTCCTATTTTGAATTGTGTGAGGAAGAATACATTCCAATGGGTTGTATTTCAAAATTAAAGGAAGATATATTCTTTGCATTGCATTTTACTTTTCTTCACACAATACATGGAAATCAGTCGAAAATTCTTTCGAAAGAAAGATTCATCCGTATTCCGCCTATGTGTTTAGAAAATAGTTTCTTAGCATCAGGATTAGCAGTGAAAATTAAGACAGACCGTAAAAAGTTAATAAGTAATTACCACCTAATGTGTAACATTAAAAACTCCATCAGAGTGATAAATACCTCTACAAGTGAAAAGATATATATTTTAGGTTAAAAATTAGCAGTCTAAGGAGAAACATTTTAATTATATTTAATTACCAGCATTAGCATAAAAAAATATAACCTGAAGGGAAAAATGGCATATTTTAGTTTGATTAAAAAAATTTCCTTTACAAGCATAAAAACTTATATTTGAGGTGAAAAATAATACACCTTACGTTAGTAAAAAATCACCTTTCCAACTATCAAAAATTACACCTGAGGTAGATTTGAAATAACCTGAAGAGTAAAATGACATGCCTCAGGTTGAAAAATATATACCTCTACAAGCATAAAATTAGATACCTGAGGTTGAAAAATAATTACCTGAGGTCGAACAACATACACCTGAGGTTGATTTATAATAACCTGAAGTGTAAAATGACACACCTTAGGTTGTTGAAAAAATACTTCCACAAGTGTAAAAAAATATACTTCAGGCTGATAAGTAATGACCTAAGGTTGAAAACAAAACACTTTAAAGTAGTAAATATCTATCTCTCCACAGATGTAAAATTAAACACCTCAGGTTGAAACATATATACCTCTGGAGGTATATTTAAGGTATATTTGAGTTTGATTTTGCGGTATTCATTTGCACCCTTTTCAACCTTAACGACGTATTTAAATAACAACCTCCTTTATACCTTTCAAATATACCTCATTTATACCTCGATTTTTTCATAAGGGAACGTACCCAATAACTTGCACAAAAACTGTAGACCACGCCATATAAATGATTCATTCACTATTCTTGTAAAATTGAAAAAAAGCCTAGCTTTCAAATCATATTTCATGAATGAACTTGTGAATCCGAAACGGGTGTATGATGCAGCTTACAATCTCCATCAAACACCATTGTACCCATCCGAAAATGTTAATATTGATCTCTATTGGCTGTTCAATGTCTATTCAGTCATCAAAAGAATTTACACATATGTGTCTGAGCAGCATTCATATAGGTCTGCGAAATTGTGAAGCGATCAGTGCAGGATTAACAGTTAAATATGTCCAAGATGAAAACACAATAAAGTTGCTTTTCCAAAAAAAATTAGACAACAACCATTTTGCCCGATCACAATTTTTTGAATTTTTAAATTTTGATCTTTATGTTGATATTTTTGTATTTTTATTTATTATTATTTTTTTCTGTACTGTTGCATACTTTAACAAGTTGTATACAAGCAATGGTTACAATTCTTCTGTATTTTTTATGATTACAAACACTCTATATCGTCAATGCTTTTCAATTGAGCTCACATTATTTGCAAGAGAAGAGAGAAAAAAGTTTTATTTTGTGAGTATGCTTTACTATATTCCCATCATAGACCGAACCATCAGATTAGAAGCTTCCATATTTGCAACACATTCAGGAGGTAAATTCATTCCATCCATTGCTTTTCTTCCAAAAGACTCCATGCAATCCTAAATTAAAAATTTCACTTTACTTCAATAACTGTTAATTCTGGTATCTTTTTTATTTTCCTACAGTAATAAAAGTGTTCTTTATATTGGCAGGCAGACTTCTCTTATTACAATTAGTTTCTTGTTTTTAACCACGGGTTTCACCCTTTAGCGTATGTAGTCCCTGACTAAATTAGTAGACGCACTATAAGATTCTATGTAAAATCTTAATTATCAGGTGATACTATACAACTTTATTGTTTTCACGCGGTTTGCACTTGTTTACCTTCGTGTATCAATGGGTAAACATTGTAATACAATACGTTTGAAATAAATACAAATAGGAAGTATATAAAAAATCTCCTCTACAAAAAACCTTTACATGTATGTTTAAATATAAAAGTATTGCCTATAAACTCGTGCAAACCAGGTCATTATTAAAACACTACAGTGCGTCTAAAAATTTGATCTCATTATTATAATCTATTATATATAATTCGCTTACGTGGCTCCCAAATTTTGGCTGTATTTCTTTTCCGGCAGTGGCAACGTTTGCTTTGTTTTGAAAACACCAAAGCATTCTGCCTTTTAATGATGTGTTTCTGATCTAATATATATAATTCTCTTACGTGGCTCCCAAATTTAGGCTGAAGTACTTTGAACAACTAAATAAGATTCTTCTCACAACAGTTAAATATTTACTTTATTTTCTTCATTCATAGAGAAAACAGTCGGCAACGAATTCTGTTAGGTTAAAAAATATTTCGCTTAAAAAAATAACGAATTCTAGAAGAAATAAAACTAAACAACTTAAAAAATAAAAAAGCTGTTGCCAGCCAATAGAATTTTTTGAAAGTTAACTTAGCAACATAAATCAAAATGACAGAGAAGCGCAACTAGATCAAAATTATGATACCTGAGCTCTTGACGTAACAAATCCTTCAATTCTAAAAGTGTTGTATCGCCAAATGCCCAAATTAACAATTGTGTTCTTAAAGAAATTCTATAAAAAGTTTTAAATAAACAACCTACTTCTACAACTGCTTCTTGAAGAACTTGGCTCATTGATTAAAAATATTGTTTTAATTTTACAGTACTAACTTTACTTCTACTTTCATTATTGCTATGACCCTCTTTCATTACATTTTACAACTTCATGCTAAATTTGAGGACTTTAAGTTGTTTTGTGGTTGAATACTGACATTTAGAAATGTGTACATAAAAAAAATAATATTTAGAGGTTAAGAGTTGCCTCAGAAAAATTTGAATTGTTGACATTGAACTTAACAATGGAAACAATCGTTTTTGTGAAAAATTGAATTGTATTGTTGACATCAAAACTAAAAATATTGTGTTTCAACTTAACAATACTACCTTAATTTATACTTTAGAATTGCCTCGGAGAAATTTGAATTGTTAGCAATGACTTAAACAAAAAGTTTTATTTTAACTGACAAATACTATATTATAATTTTAACTTTTTCTATGACTATACTCATTTTCTTACTCTTTTCTTTGTTTTTTATACATTTTATATTTTTGTGATAAAATAAAAAACTTATAGTTGTTCTGCTTCTGAACACTGATGAAAACACAAAATGATGGGCTTCATCAACAATCAAAAATATATACATTTATTTTACAAATTCCATATTATTAAGGTGGCGCCCTTCAGAGAATTAAAAATACAAAATTATCTTCATCAAAGCCGATGCTTTACATCCGGCGTTCAGTGGCAGACTACTATTTCATATTGTTTTACAACACATGGCTTTAGCCCTCTGGTGGGAAAGACTTTAAAACAAAACTTACAACAGTTACTTTTCTCAACAACTGAAATTTAGAATAGTGTGATTAAGAAAAATATGTGAACTGTTTGCAATTTCAAATTAATATTGAAATGTACAGGTTTAGAATTTTCTACAGTGAAAAGTTTTCGGAACTTCAGTATTCAAAAAAGTATACAAAAACTAGACGTTAAGAACGTATCCAATGAGCGAGCAAGGCGAGCATTGGATTGCGAAGCAATCCGAAATGAACTGCGAAAGCAGTTCCGGGGGTTGGTGAGCGCCAGCGAGCAGGGGGCGAAGCCTCCTAGTATACTAATATAATGCTTGATATAATAAATATTCTATATTTATATAATATATCGTCTAAATTATTCTATCATCAAATTTATATGATATATCGTCTAATTTAACCCATTTATGCACAAACGCAAGCAAGTGCAAACCGGTTTCAGCCACCTAAAAACAACAAAGCTGTATAGAGTATCACCTGATAATTATAATTTTACATAGAATCCTAGAGTACGTCGAATGATTTGACCAGGGGCTGTAATGTATCTAACTCTCAAAATAATTGTAGAGATAGAAATAGTGGCCCTAGGTCCAACTTAAATCTCTGAAGTTCTACTATTATTATTAACCCGTAAGTTAATTGTCCTAACCCTTCATTTTTTCAACCCAATGTAAATAATTTCATCCCACAAAGCAGCGTCAATATTCATTTCTCGTCTGATAATTTGGCCAGGGACTGTGGATGATAAAAAAATATTGGTAGGCACCATATGTCAATAGAATATAGTGTTCTTTTTTCAAAAAATAGGATAGGTGTCTCAATGTTCCGCGATTAACCCACTCTTCACACTTTTCCCCTCTCCCCTGTTATGGTTATCAGTCAGTCAGAAGTTAGATTGTTTTTACGTGGGAGCAATATTTGCCATAACCATGGTAACGGAGAAACCCAGAAAGCATATAACCTTACGGCGACTTTGTGTCGGAATTTTCCTGTTATTGTCACGAAAATGTTTGTACTAAAAACCTTTTTTCAATAATGCAAAAATATTGCAGTTTAAAACCTTTCATCCTAAAAGGATTAAAAATTGTTTTTTAAAGCTTTCGTCGTCACTTCGTATCGTCACTTCGGTTCATAATGACGTTTTAGTTGACGTCACACTAGCGATAGGATGCAATTGCATTTGTCCATTAAAATTTCATGACAAGGTGGATTTTAGCTGAGCATTACAAGACTCTGCAAAAATAAACCTTATAATTACCTAGATTTAAGATTATTTTCACCTTGAGACTAGCTTGATGCGAGGAATTTTAAATGCTTGAAAACCCTAAGACAACCTAGATTTAAGGTTTTTATATAGAAGGTTGTTTTTTAAGGTTTGAGATTAGGGTCATGTGCGTAGAATACAGAAGATTGTCACAGATTTCGTTTTAAGGTTAGAAGGTTTACACGTAAACCGCCATAAAAACCTTTTTAGGTTTACATTAAAAGGTAACCTTAAAATAAACCTTATTTTGCTACCTGGGAATTAAAGAGAGGTAAAAAATCAAGTAACCGTGAGATGCCTATACTATTTACAAGGAGCAAAGCATGTTTTATAAACATGTTTATAAACAATGTTTTCATACATTGTTGATCGTTTGTTTTATATCCTCTTCATGAAATTTTAATATCTTTTTTAATTCAGACAATTTTAACTCAGGACTCCCTACAAATCGTAAAGAAAATTTGAGTTACTGAAAATTCAAACAGGAATTTTGACTCTTTAAAATTCTTTCTTACCATTATATTCCTTTTTTCATTAGGCGTCATTTTCTTTACGTCACGCATAAATTGTTGCTAAAAAATTAAATGAAAACAAACCAATTTATAGCAATTAGTAAACACTCAATGCAGTATGTTATAACGACAATTCGTAGTAGTGAGTCGAATTGTCGTTATATCGAGAATGTGTCTATAAATAACTAGATTAGTAATGTAATAATAACAATAATAAAAAAAAGACTTATGAATAATAGTGTAGAATAGTTTTCGACGCCACTGAATTTTAATTTCAATAGTTAGTTGGCTGTAAGAAATATGAGCCGATGGTAGTCAACAAAAAAAAAGACCTGCATGGGGAAAGTAGTCATCGACCATGGCAACTTTCACCAATCAAAAAGCCGCGATGACTCAGGGGATAGAGCATTCGCCTTCCACTGAGGGGACCCGGGTTCGAATCCCAGCGATGGCTGGTCGATACAAATCCGCATCTGGCTTGCACCAACCACAGTGCTGATGTGAAATATCGTCAGTGGTAGACGGATCATGGGCTAGAGTCTGTTTGCCATCAGGCTAACCATGGGAGGTTGTCGTGGATTTCCCCTCCATGTTACGCAAATGCGGGTTAGTTACATCAAAAAGTCCTCCACGAAGGCAAATTTCTCCCAATACTTGATCTAGGAGTTCCCTTGTCTTCTGGATTGGGTTCAAAATGACAAGGCTACGGAGTTGAACAATAGTAGTTGTAAAACCAAAAAATTGGGTCGGCTGTTCAACGACGGTTATGATAAAAAAAAAAAGGAACCCCAAAATCAAAAGGTACTTTTGATCAACTTTCTCAATCAAAATCAACTATCAACTTTCATCAATCTAAAGGTACCGACCGAAGACTCCCCGTGTAGTAAATGGTGACTGATGCACGTTAAATCTGTCGAGTCACAAAGTCCTCCATGTTCCCATAGTAAATCAGTGCATCTGGGGGTACTGATTCAGGAGTTTCCTTTTCTTCTCGATTGGGTTCAAAATGACAAGGCTACGGAGTTTAACATTAGTGGTCGTAGACCCGAAATTGGGTTGGCTGCTCGCCGGCGGATATAAAATAAGATATAAAATAAAAAGATAGGTTCAAGTTAACATGCCTTGTATACTAATAAATTGATGTTAAATAATCGTAGTTGCAGTTACACCATCGTCAATCAACGAAACATCACCAACTAGTAGCAAAAATAGTTATAATGTTAATAATAATAATGAAAGCATATTACCATTTTTGCTTGCGCCTCAGCTGTCTCGTCAAGAATAATGCTTGTACACATCTAAAAGAATTCAGAAAACATAATCAAATGAAACTCCTATATGCAGACATGAGCCGTTATTTTCGATAGTGGAATAAGTCCATTTGGAGCAAAGAAATAGTTAATTTAATGTTTTTTTTTTTTTTTTTTTTTTTTTTTTTTAAAAAAAGCTAAGAAGTCGTTCATTTTAATGTTGCTGTTTTTTTCCCCTTGTTTTTTTTTTTTTTTAGGATTATAATTACTATTGTTGCATTTTGATAGTTCATCACACTATGGTATTAACCACTTCCTTTACAAATTACATTGAAAAAAAAATGCAAAAAATCAACATATTTTTTATTTTATTTTTATTAATAAATACAAGGAACTAAAATAAAACATAATACACAAGCTTTAAATTGAAATTTGAATTTTTTATGTGTAAGAAGCCTTTAATTTAAAAACAGTTAACTATCCCGAGTTATTTTGGGGCAAATGAAAGAAGTTAAATATTAGTCTTTGTATGATAGTTCTTAAAACAAGGGACAACACAAAGTGAAACTTTTCAAACATCTGTGAAGGAATACGCTTTTTTTTGATGTTATACTTCTTATGCGACTTCCAACAAGGTTGCGTTAAACGTTTAACGCTACATTTTTGTAGGAACATTGTACGCTACATTTTGAACAACGTGGTAGGATCCAGTTTTCCCTCATTCATTTCCATATTGTTTTGGTTCTCACTAGCATAAAAATAATAAAAGTATTGTTTTTCTATAAATATTTTTTTAGTTTGTTTTGATACACATATAATTTAATAGCGTAGTACTTTTTATTTTCAAACTTAGTGGATAGCAATTGTAAAAAATGAGTGAAAGCAATCCCACGGACAATGCGACGGATTTAAGGTTATGTCAAGGTACGTCTGTTGTGAATACCAATTGATTGTTTCTCTTTTGAAATTACATTATGACGCATTCACATACATTATTAATACAAATACATTTTCCAGGGCGAGACGATGAGGCAATCACAAGCACTGGTTCAAGAGGTTCACGAGGGAAAAATGCACAATATTACCGTTATTACAGAGCACGGAAGCGAGCGGAGCAGGAAAAAGAGTCGTTGAATAGAACTATTGATCCTTCTACGACTGCTGATTCTTCTACAATTAACGTCGCAGGTTGCGAAGTTTAACTTCTTCCGAGCGGAGGGACTCCACGCACTGTTTTTTTTATACTCTTATTGCTATGTAGATTCAGAAACCATCGTATATACAATCGCACAAAACACGTCTACAGTCCAACATCAAAACTCCCAAACAAAACTTGTCCCGCAGTGGACTGATCGTTAAGACACGGTTCCCAGCAGATCACCGAAGTCAAGCATCACTGGCTACGGTCAGTGTGCGGGCGGGTGACCACTTGGATCAGTCTGCGTAGGGACCGAGGGTGTGCGGTATTGGTCCTCGTTAAACTGTTCTACCGTGAAGTGCTCGACTTCGAGCACAGGTCGTCGGGCTACCGAAGCGGGGGTGCCATCCCCTCCGCAGAGGATCAAAATTGTGATGGCATGTCTTCGGATCATCCTCCGGGATGTTTCCCAGACCGTCGCCAATAGCCCATTGTGCAGCTCTAGTGCGACGTAAATTAACAACAACAAACCAAACAAAACTTGGCAAACTTCCAATCACAGCAGATTATGTTTTTTGCTTCCGACAGAGTCAAAACGTGATAAAACAAAACGAACTGACAAATTCTACTAAGCCCGAGTTTTCTCGGGATGATAAATATTTGCAATATATGCGTGCCCGAGTTAACTCGGGTTAATCAGGGAGGCGGTTAAATACATCGCCTGAAATTGATTAACCCTCTCCCGTATTTTGAAATTAATTAAATAACACTTACCTTAAAAAGCCTCAGACTTTATATTACTTTTCAAATGGACTTGAAAAAGTAACAGAACATATAATGAATACAGTTCAATAAGGATAACAAAAAAAAAAAAGGAAAAAATTAATTCACAAGATATTTTGTGAATTTTTTTTTTTTTTTAAATCTTATTATAAACAATGCCTGTAAACTAATTCTCCTCTCGACGATGCCCTCTTTTTCTTAAAAAAAAAAAAAAAAAAAAAAAAAGAANATGGGGGGGGGGGGAGGAGAACTGCATTTTTAGAAAACAAAGTACCTATTTGAGTATTTGATATTGCTATTTAACTGATATTTATTATTGCCATTTCCCTTGCACTTTATTTAAGTATAATTGAATGAGATTATTCACGAGTGAATAAAGTAAATAGTACAAAAGTTGCAATATTTTTAAGTATTCAAAGTACGACCTATGATATGACTTTGTACTATTTGTACTTCGCTATATAGAGGCTGTCTATGTGAGGTTGTCTACGTGAGGTGAAATCATAATTTTTAATTATTTAAACTATTTTATTCTATGACCGTCGTTGAACAACCGACTCAATTTAGGGTTTACGACTACTGTTGTTCAATCTGTAGTCTTGTAATTTTGAGCCCAATCCAGAAGACAAGGGAATTTCTAGATCATATATTGGGAGAACCCGCATTTGCATTACACGATGAAGGAAAACCGCGAAAACCAACCAGGGATAGCCTGACGGCAAGGGGACTCTAACCCATGATCCGTCTACCACTGAGGATATTTTACGTCAGCACTGTGGTCGGTGCAAGCCGGATGCGGATTTGTATCTACCAGTCATCGCCTGGGATTCAAACCCAGTTCACCTCATTGGAAGACGAACGCTCTGTCCCCGGAGCCATCACGGCTCTCATTGATATTATTATATTTATTCGATATTTCAATATCTGCTGAGGATAGATTAGGAGGAACATCAGTGTTCTGGAGTACCGGTTAAATGCATACTGGACAGTGGCACGTGACCTTAAAAAACATTGATGTAGGGCATACCAGGCAAATGTATACCAGGCAGTAGCACTGAGCCTCAAAAAATCATTGATATAGAGCATAATAGACAGTGGCACTTAACTAAACCAAGTATATATTTCGGAGATTTACCAAAGCGACTATGTGATTGTCAACATTCACCGGTGGAAGTCGACAACCATCCATTTCTGTTATTCATAGTTACATGAAAACGCTTGTAGCTTCTAAAGTATCAGGATGAGTATCAGAATTATAGTATCAGGATTACTATGAGGACAATAGTATCAGGATTAGTTTCCTTCAATTCAGCTTGGAAGATTACGTCGGGAAATATAATTTACATGTTCAGATAATTCTTCATAATAAATTGAAATGTGTAACGTGACAAAAATAAAAAAGTACTTTTTCTACTTTGAAAACTCTTTGTGCTATTGACTTGCGCATAGGCTCATTTGATCAGCGTAAAAAAATACCGAGCAAGAAGTCCCACTTCTTTAATAGCAGTATCAGATACATTAATGGGTACAAATATAAATTTGTACTTTTTTTAAAAATATAAAACCCATATAACTTCTAAACTATTAATTCGATTGTCTCAGGATTGGTCTCCTTCAATTCAGCGTTAAAAAAAAACTTCCAAAACAATGCCTCACTTGCCTGTTTAGAAGAAAGTCAATTCTTCACCTCAAATCAACTGCATTTCTTACAAAATGAAAAAGAGCAGGAGGTGTATTCAGATATTATATAGTAAATAACATATAGTTTTTTTGTCAAAACTTATCTTGGGTCAAGATAACTTTTGTCAAAATATATCTTGAATACAAAAGGAAATAAAGTACAGTCCCTGGTCATATTATTAGAAGCACTATAAGATTCTATGTAAAATTATAATTATCAGGTGATACTATACAGCAGTATTATTTTTACTCGGATGAAACCGGTTTGCACTTGTTTACATTCGTGTATCGATGGGCTAACATTGTAATGCAATACGTTAAAAATAAATACAAATAGGAAGTATATAAAAAATATCCTGAATAAAAACCCATTACATGTATGTTTAAATATAAAAGTATTGCCTATGAACTCGTGCAAATCATATCATTATTTAAACACTTCAGTGCATCTAGTAATTTGATGTAATTATTATAATATACTAATATAATGCTTGATGTAATAAATATTCTATATTTATATCGTCTATTTTATTCCATCGTCAAACTTATATATTAATATATCGTCTCATTTGACTAATCGATACACGTAACGTAAACAAGTGCAAAGAGTCAAATAAAAACAATAAAGCTGTATAGAATATCATCTGATAATTAAGATTTTACATAGAATATTATAGTGCGTCTAGTAATACGCCCAGGTACAGTAAGAGGAGTTTATAGGTATTATTTATAATAACATAGCGAAGATATTTGTCGAAATATACCTTGGGTATTTGTTGTTTCGAGGGAAAAAAAATCTAATCTAATTTAATAATAGGGTTGAAATAATTGGAACATTTTAGAAACTTACTTTACAGCCTTCCAAGCATTTAGCACCATCATCCTTATTCTTCGCCATATCTGAAATGTTTAGAGAAAAAAAAATATATATTGAAAATTCATATCATAAAATACGCAACTTAAAGTGTTTCTAATAAAGTCCCAACCTTAAAAGTGCTATTTTTCTTGCGCTGGTAATATTGCCCTTACCAAAAGTATATATATATAATGGAATGACCTCTAATATACTAATTAGTTAACTTTAAGTTATAATCATTAGCCTATTACGCGGAATAAATAATCAGCTGTTGAAGCAGCCAAGGCCTGCAAGGGGCTGTTGCGCTGACGAAGAAGAAGAAGAATAAGTTAGGAAATCAGACACAATAACATGCTGAATAAATTTCTACGATGAATTTGGCTATACAGGCCCAATAGTTTTGTCAGGGTTAACTATATGGATTCTTAAATATTGATTTTACTTTTTGCGTGTTTTGCAATATCTTGAAAACTTTTTAAGCTAATTAAAAAAATTTTGCTCTCAATTATAAAGTTAGTTTATCCGATTATAATTTCAAACCAAAACTATTTTCATAATTGTTTGTTATTTTTATTGATTTATATAATAATAGTCGACAAATTATCACTTACAAGGTTACATAAATTTTTACATGTTTTTGAAGAATGGAATTTTAAAAGAAAAATTACACAATTAGTACGAGATCGATCAAACACTGTGAAAATTATAAAATTATTTTTTAAAAAATGGCATATTAAAAGGTGGTTGCTAAAATTACTAGATCAAAAGTTATTCAGGTGGTTTCCCTTTTTTTTTAAACACATATACATGAATAGAACTCTTTTGTAATTTTGAGTATGAGAGTTCAACAAAATCTTTTTGACACTTGATATTGTTCTGAAAATGCAAATTAATTTCAGGATTAAGAAGTTTGAGATTTTATTACGAAGGAAAATAAAATTAAAAAAAAGGCTTTATTACCTTGCATTTTTTTGTATACTTTCATATAACCATCTTCGCATTCATCAGCAAGCGATGCACTAAAAAATAACAAACTGAAATATACGATAAATTTATTCATATTTTGTTAAAGGTTAACTGGAACTGTAATCTAGTAAATTCAATCACATAGAACGAAATATCTAGATTAAGCAGACGATTTTAATGAACTTGTTGACGCATATACACGCACTTTCAAAGATTTATTAAGAGGAAGTTAAATAACTCCTGATTCAACAAGTTTATTTTGATTTGACAGTTTTGATATTTTAATAATGAAAGTAAACATTGTATTAATTTTATTTCATTATTTGCCAAAAACTTTTCACTTTATGAACGTTGAACACTATAGCGTGAGTGTATGAATTTGCATTTGTTCGCCAACTTCCAAGGCTATTTTGCACGCAAAATAACATCCTATAACAGATTTATGAGTTCCTGTAATGTCAAGCTCAAGTTATAGAAAAAAAAGACTAATAAAAATTCTATCATATTTCAGCTTCATTCAAAAAATTTTACAAAAACATTCGTGTTACACTTTCATTTCTCATTACTAAAACACAAAACTAGGAAATTTTGTTACCAGCCAATGGCCAGAAATAGCAATTTTAATACTACAGTGAACTCTCGCTACAACGATATCCGATATAACAATAAATTCCTCTATTACAATAATGTTTCGTGGTCCCGACGAACTTGCATATGAATTAATGTAATCCACCTTTCAATATTGCGATATTCTCTGAAGCAATAAACCTCTGTAAAGCAATTTTTTTTAAAAATTTAAAATTTATTTTCTCCAAACATTATTGGTTTTCAAATAATGTAAAAATCTTATCATATTTTGCAATTTTTTACCGTCTTCTCTGGCAAAAGAAGTCTCACTGCTGATTATGAACTTATCTTATTTATTAATGCATATATAGCATTACAATTTAAAAAAAATCTCATTGTGTCCCCAAAATATATAGGCCCTTGATATAATAATACGCCACTCTACAACAATATATTTATTTGCTCCCCAAAATATTGTTGTAGCTAGGTTTTACTGTATTTATCAAATATTGAACTATTGAAAGTGACACTGTTGATCAGAGGTCGAAAGTAAAGCGCTACAAGTGGCGAAACTACTGTAGTCGCTACTTTTTTCCGTAGTTTGTAGTGTAGCGTGCTACTTTTTAAAAGAAGTAGTGTAGCGAGAAGTGTGATACAGAAAAACAAAAGTTTATAGCGATTCCTGCCAACTACCTTTAAAGTCAGTTAAATAAAGAAGCAAAGTTCAAAGGCAAAAAAGTTTTCGAATCTGATTGGTGTGTTATTCGGATCTGATAGGTGGATCTGAAGTTTTTGTGTCTGATTTCGCAATACTAAAATACAGGGCCTCATTGTGTACCCCCTAATTGACCTATAATTAATTCCTCTGGTATGGGGTACACTATTAACCGGTAATATAATACGTAGTCAAATTCAAATATTATGGGTCAATATTAAAGTATGATATCGCGCCTTGCGTTAGTTAACATCGGAAAATGTCTTTGAATTTTTAAACCTCTTTAAAAGGCGAATTTCCTCATTTTAAGCTTTTCAGAACACTTATTTTAGATATACATACATAGTAAAATACAGGGCCACATTGTGTGCCCCCTAGAGAGTCTATAATTATTTCCTTTGGTAGGGTACACTATTCCTAGGTAATATAATACGTGACCCAATTAAAACATTATGGGTTAATATTAAAGGCCGATATCGGGACGTTTGTTAACATTGAAAAGTGACTTCGAATTTACTTGTTTTAATGCACTATTTTAAATATACATAGTGTACCCCCAATGGGGTCCATAATTATTTCCTGTGGAAGGGTACACTATTACCCTGTAATATAATATGTGGTCCAATTAAAATATTATGGGTCAATATTAAAATCCGATATTTCGCTTTACGTTAACATTGAAAAATGACTTCGCGCTTCCTAATTTTAAAGAAGGCGAATTTTTTCATTTTAAAGCTTTACGCAACTCTACTTTAGATATGCATACATAGTAAATTTTAGGGTCAGGTTGTGTACCCCCCTATGGGGTCTATGATTATTTTCTCTGGTGGGGTACACTATATCTAGGTAATATAATACGTGGTTCAATTAAAATATTATATGTTAATATTAAGGGCCGATATAGGGCTATTGATTAACATTGAAAAGTGTCTTCGAATTTACTTGTTTTAATGCACTATTTCAAATATACATAGTGTACCCACAATGGGGTCCATAATTATTTCCTGAGGTAGGGTACACTGTTACCCTGTAATATAATACGTGGTCCAATTAAAATATTATGGGTCAATATTAAGGTCCGATATCGGACTTTACGTTAACATTGAAAAATGACTTCGCGCCTTTTAATTTTAAAGGGTTTTAGAAGGCGAATTTCCTCATTTTAAGCTCTTCCGAACACTTATTTTAGATACGCATACATCATAAAATACAGGCTTCATTGTGTACCCCCTAATTGACGTAACATTATTTCCTGTGGAAGGGTTCAATATTACCCTGTAATATAAAAGCGGGCCAATTAAAATATTATGGGTCAATATTAAGATCCGATATCTTGCTTTACGTTAACATTGAAAAATGACTTTTCGCTTCCTAATTTTACAGGATTTTAGAAGGCGAATTTCCTCATTTTAAAGCTTTACGCAACTCTACTTTAGATATACATACATATTAAATTTTAGGGTCACGTTGTGTACCCCCTAAGGGGTCAATAATTATTTGCTCTGGTAAGGTACACTGTTACCCTGTAATATAATACGTGGTCCAATTAAAATATTATGGGTCAATATTAAGGTATGATATCGCGCCTTGCGTTAGTTAACATTGAAAAATGACTTCGCGCTTCCTAATTTTAAAGGGTTTTAGAAGGCGAATTTCGTCATTTTAAGCTCTTCCGAACTCTTATTTTAGATACGCATGCATAGTAAAATACAGAGCATCATTGTGTATCCCCAAATTGACCTATAATTATTTTCTCTGGTAGGGTACACTATTACCCGGTAAAATAATACGTGGTCCAATTAAAATATTAATAAAATAATTAATTAAAATATTTAAAATATTAATTGAAATATAGGAGGAAACAATTATAGGCTTAATAGGACCCCACACTGTGGTCCTATAGGTTACTATATATGTATAGTGTATTGAATAGCGTTAAAGTGAAGAAATTCAAGGTCAATATTCTGTATTACAACATGACCCTATATCCTCCCTTAATATTGACCCATAATATACAAGTTGGACCACTTATTATATTATCGGGAACAAATGCACCCTACCAGGGGAAACAATTATAGGCTTATTAAGGGGCCAATAATGTGGCCCAGTAGATGGACTATGTATGTACATATATAATAGCTTTAAAATGATATATTAAGTTAATATAAAAATAATATAAAATAAATTAACTTAAATTTTTTTAAAGGAATTAACCAGTATTGAACCCCGGACCTTCAGTTCTACAAACTTCTTCACCCACGACGCTAAAAACGACGCCATCTGCCACGAATATTTAGCCTAAAGAAACTTCTCACGGTCAATTATCGAAACTTATTTTGGCCCATTGTGGGCCCGTTAATTAGTCTATAAAAGTTTCCTTTGGTACGATTGTTTGTTATATTGAACTCTACTTTCAGGCCGAGTTTAAAAATTATAAGTTAATATTTACGGGAGTCACTTGGAGAGCCGAGTGCGTAGCTCCGGAAAAGAACCCAGGGTCTCCGGGACAACAAATCTAACTTGCCCAAAGCGCAACCAACTTCGCCACGCTTCACGTGCCAGCCTCACGAATATTTACCTTAAAACACCTCCTCCCGGTTAGTCAACAAAACATATTTTAGGTCACTGTGAGCCCAGTAATTGGTCGATAAAAAATTCCTTTAGTACAAATTTTCGTTACATTAGACTCTAAGTTCAGGCCGAGTTTGAAGTTTATAGGGTAATATTATAGGGAGTTACGGGGTGTGTTGTGTGTGGGCCTCCTGATACGACTTTTGCCCATTCATCAGCAATTATTCGCTCTCTAACAAAGAAAAATAATTCTTTTTGCATATAGAACACTTTATTCCAGTCAAAATATTGAAAAAGGAGTTAAAAAAATATTACAATTTAAAATAAAAAAATAAATAAAAATTATCTGAAATTTATCCGTTTATTAGCTACTATTCGTTGTCTCTCAAAGAAAAATTAGTCATTTTTATATACAGAACACATTATTCACGTTAAAATATGGAAAAATATATAAGAAAAATAATATAAAATAAATAAAAAAATTTAAATGTCGACCTTCGCAGGGTTTCGAACCCAGGTTCTTCGGGACAACAAATCCAGCTTTCCCAAAGCGCTACCAACTTCGCCATGCTTCACAGACAGCCTCATGATTATTTAGCTTAAAATACTTCCTCCCGGTTAGTCAACAAAACATATTTTAGGTCACTGTGAGCCCAGTAATTGGTCGATAAAAAATTCCTTTAGTACAAATTTTCGTTACATTAGACTCTAAGTTCAGGCCGAGTTTGAAGCTTATAGGGAAATATTATAGGGAGTTTCGGGGGGTGATGTGTGTGGGCCTCTTGATACGACTTTTGCCCATTCTTCAGCCATTATTCGCTCTTTATCATAGAAAAATAATTCTTTTTTCATGTAGAACACTTTATTCCATTTAAAATATTGAAAAAGGAGTTTAAAAAATATTACAATTTAAAAAAAATAAATAAATAAAAATTATTTGAAATTTATCCGTTTATTAGCTATTATTCGTTGTCTCTCAAAGAAAAATTAGTTATTTTTATACACATAACACATTATTCACGTTAAAATATGGAAAAATATACAAGAAAAATAATATAAAATAAATAAAAAAAATTTAAATGTCGGCCTTCGCAGGGTTTCGATCCCAGGGTCTTCGGGACAACAAATCTAACTTGCCCGAAGCGCTACCAAATTCGGCACGCTTCACAGACAGCCTCAGGAATATTTAGCTTAAAATACTTCCTCCCGGTTAGTCAACAAAACATATTTTGGGTCATTGTGGGCCCACTAATTGGTCTATAAAAAATTGTTTTGTTACAGTTTTTCGTTACATTAGACTCTAAGCTCAGGCCGAGTTTGAAGTTTATAGGGAAATATTATAGGGAGTTTCGGGGGGT